CTTTCGGACATTTCATTTGCGCAACTCGCCATAACTTTCTTCTAAGTGGGTCAATCTTTATGATTTTGGTGTCATTTTGTAGATCTCAATAAGTGCAACAAAATGAAACCAAAATATACAAAACAACAAAACATAAAAGAGGCCCACTTAGAAGAAAGTTATGGCGTTATGGATTCGGGAGTGGCTACTTTGCGCCAAATTTTTTCCGTAACTGGGTCATTTGCGCAACTCGTCATAACTTTCTTCTAAACAAGGCGCAAAGTAGCCACCCCCGAATCCATAACGCCAAACTTTCTTCTAAGTGGGCCAATCTTTATGATGTTTTGGTTGTTTTGGTATAATTTTGGTTTCATTTTGTTGCACTTATTGAGATCTACAAAATGAAACCAAAATCATAAAGATTAGCCGATTTAGAAGAAAGTTATAGCGAGTTGCGCAAATGACCCTGTTGCGCAAAAAAAGTTACGGAAACTAGCCTACCCCAAAATCAAGCTTTGTTATAAATGATCAAATCGAAAGTGACTTTTTTTTTTTGCTTTATTTCACTCTTTTTAAGCGGAATTTTTCGTTTTGTTTGTTTTGAAGTAACTTTTGAAAAAAGAAAACTTAAAAACCTTAAAAAAAGCTTAAAATTTCTCTCACCTTGTCGATTCGTCCAAAAATTCTTCTTTTCTGTGTGCTTCCCACCATTTCAAACCCCTCGATTTTTGCCTTGTAACTCGGTGGGACTCTGAAATTGCAAAAAAAAAGAAGAATATGCTTTTTAATTGAAATTGAGATTGAAATTGAATTGAAATTGAAATTTGAGATTAGGTTTAAAGTTTAGTTTTTGAATTTCAAGCTTAGCTTTACTTTAGCCTAGCTTTAGCCTAGCTTTGGCCTAGCTTTGGCCTAGCCTAGCTTTGCCCTAACCTAGCTTTATCCTAGCCTAGCTTTATTTTAGCCTAGCTTTACTTTAGCCTAGCTTTTTTCAATCATTTTCTTTCATTTTCAATCATTCTCTTTCAACTTTCAATCATTTCTACCCAATCCCCTTACTTCAACGGCCAATCGATCTCATTCGGTCCATTCGCATTCCAAATGCTCAATGAAATGTTGTAGGGCTTTGTGGAACCTGAAAAGAATGATGAATAATGATGAATAATGATGAATTTAAAATTAAAAAGCAAAATTATGAGGAAACTTTGTTTACGATTTCATTCTTATTTCTTTAAACAAACCAATCGGATTTTCCCAAACGATTAGATTCTTTGATGAGTCGAATTGAAGCCCAGGAGCTGTTGAGGAGACTTGAATCACTGAGTTTTCCTGGAAAATGAAGTTGAAAAATTTTAAGAGAGCTTTTTGGGAAATTTATTGAAAAGTTCTTTTTTTGAAAGATCTACGAGTCCGTTGTTTGTTTTTTTTACTTTCAATTTGAATAACTTTGAAACTAGTGTTTTTCAAATCAAAAGACTCGTTTATTGTGTTCAAAAACGCAAACACAGCCTTTCTGGTGCACTCAATTCTTCATTGTTTATTCGGTAATTGGTTTTTTGTAGTTTGTAGTCAAACAGCTTTTATGAAAAGCCGAAAATATTGAAAGTTCTAAAAACGAGCTGCTAGTTGGCAAAAAAAAGTATTTGTATCAATTGTGATTGAAAAAGTTAGAAGAAACTTGTGCTTAGTTTGATATAACAATCTGGATAGCCTGATAAAGAAAAATAGAGAATTAATTGCACCAGAAAGTGGACGCTTACAAGAATGAGTATTTAGATTTAGTGCACTTGTTTAACTCACAAATAGCGGCAATTTCACAAGATACGGTGTCCCCTCGGCTCCCTCGTTTGCCCTTTGATTCGTAATGAATTGTCGATCGATTTGCGCAATCAACTCAATGATTGCACAGTCTGCACCGGATTTTCCAATTGCACAAACGCACAACGGACCAAGATCCGAGCCTTTAAAAGAAGATTATTAATACTTTTGCTGGTAAAAAGATGCTTGATTTAAAAAAAATATTAGTTTCAAATGTATTAGGGTTTAAGAAAAAAGCAATCTTTAATAACATTATCTTTTTTAATTTTTTTATACGATTTATAATCTACAGCTATTTACCGTATTTTCTCTAATAGTAGTGCACCATGGCGAACTGAGTTGATGACTATTTTACGGCTTTCAAAGTTTTCCCAGAAGCTCAACACTCAAATCCCCCACTAGATCTCATCATCAGCTACATTTTCCGACCCCACACCGATAGGTTCTGATAAACGGTTCCCGAGATTTCGAGTAATTTAGGCGACGCGGAGTTACTTGGCCTAGGAAAAACATTATTAGACAAAGGTAAGTGTTTCCTAAAAGTTCTGACAACTACCGTATTCTCTCCAATAGTAGTGCACCCGGTCGAGCCGAGTTAGTGACTATTTTACGGTTTCCAAAGTTTTCGGAGAAGCTCAACACTCTACTCCCCCACTAGATCTCATCATCAGCTACATTTTCCGACCCCACACCAATAGGTTTTGATAAGCGGTTTTCGAGATTTCGAGCAATTTAGGCAGCGCTCAAGGTGCACTACTATTAGAGAAAATACGGTAAAAACAAAATACAGACCTTTTTTGAAAAATTACGTTTCAAATAAGTTAGAGTTCAAAGAAAGAATTGAGTTTTATTCAATTTTTACTTATTACTTTGCTTATAAACATTATTAGCTTGTTATTCAAAGATTATTAGTAAAGAAGATGCATTAGAGTATCAAACTGGCTCATTAAAAAGCCTAGTTTCAGCTAAACAAAGTTTGAAATAGAAGGAAATAGAAGGAAGTAAAATCGAATGTTTTAAAGTCGTTTACTTTGAGATTTTTGCGAGATTTGGCACCAATTAAAAACTATTTTCAGTTTTCAAAAAAACTTGTTTCAAATAAAGTAAAGTTTAAAGAAGAAAGTAGCTCTCTAATTGGATATTTTCAAACGTTTACCTTGGCATTTTTGCGAGATTCTTTCTGTAAACGTGAAATGTATCGGTTTCTCATCGACACTCTCAATGTGTTCATGAGTTGTTTCGGGTTCAAGAGTGAACACGTGACGACCGATTGACATCTCTGAAAACGGAAAATAGTCAGCTCATCATTTTTCAGCAAAGAATCACTTGAATAGATCGATTGAAAAATTTATTGAAAAAATTGATTGAAAGAATTTCTGCAAAAAAATTCAGCAAAGTTTCAAGCTGAATGACTTTAAAAAGCATGATTGGCTTTTGATTTGGTGTAAATGCACTAAATTAGATTTGTTTATTGAGCATTCGATTTGTCAAAGGAATATTGAGAACTTTGTTAGAACTTTATCAAAGTTTATCAAAGAAAGATACCCTCTGGAATGGCGCATCTGACGAGTGAACTTGAAACGAATTTTCCCGGAGCTTTTAACGTGCCGAATATACAGGAATACTCGGAAGCTCTAAAAAAAGTGAAAGTAAATGTTTTAATGGTTCTAAAGTTTGAGGATGAGCGAAAAAGCCTTAAACAAACCGTGTTTCAATTGGTGTATTTGTTGGTTTTAAACGAAAGAACGACAAATGGAGGAAAAGACTTTCTGGACAGGTTAATAGTGGAAAAAATACTTTCGCATGTGCCTAGTTAACCAAAAAAAAAAAGATTTCTGGACAGGAAAATAGTATCAATGACTATTGCGTTTATATTTATGAATTCGAGCTTAAATCTATTCAAATTTATTCGAAACTAAAGCAAAACTAAGGTAAAACATGCTAAAATTCAATGATAAAGCAAGATTTCAAAAATTGATAAAAATTTAATTACTATTGTCATTTTGAAACATTCAAATAAAACTTTCTAGAATTTAAAATTTCCATGTTTCAAGTTTATAAAAATAGCTTAGAGAAGTGAAGATTTAATTACGATAACTTCAAAAACTTAAAAAGCTAAAACGAAAATTTGATTTGATTATGACCTTTATTTGAAACATTTACTTTTTTACTTGATGATTTAAATAATAAGCACAATTTTATCAATTTATATGATTTTTCTCAAGTTTTAAGCTCAAAATGATTTTGACAAGCTCAGCGGGGTTACAAAAAAAACACTTTCGCAGATTCCGGATGCTAATCGCAATATGCAAATTTTGTTTGAGCATCCAAAAGTTTCAATTGGTGTATTTGTTGGTTTTGTAAACGAAAGTACGACAAATGAAGGAAAAGACTTTCTGGATAGGTTAATAGATGAAAAAATACTTTCGCATGTGCCTAGTTAACCAAAAAAAAAAGATTTCTGGACAGGAAAATAATATAAATGATTATTGCGTTTATATTTATGAATTCGAGCTTAAATCTATTCCAATTTATTCAAAACTAAAGCAAAACGAGGGTAAAACATGCTAAAATTCAATGATAAAGTAAGATTTCAAAAATCGATAAAAATTTAATTGCTATTTTCAATTTGAAACATTAAAATTTCAAAATTTCAAAATTCAAATCGAATTTCAAATTTTTATGTTTCAAGTTTATAAAGATAGCTTAGAGAAGTGAAGATTTAATTCTGATGACTCAAAAAGCTAAAACGAAAATTTGATTTGATTATGACCTTTATTTGAAACATTTACTTTTTTGCTTGATGATCTAAATAATAAGCACAATTTTATCAATTTATATGATTTTTCTCAAGTTTTAAGCTCAAAATGATTTTGACAAGCTCAGCGGGGTTACAAAAAAAAACTTCCACAGATTCTAGATGCTAATCGCAACTTGCAAATTTTGTTTGAGCATCCAAAAGTCCGTATTTCAATTGGTGTATTTGTTGGTTTGGTAAACGAAAGAACGACAAATGAAGGAAAAGACTTTCTGGACAAGTTAATAGATGAAAAAAGTACTTTCGCATGTGCCTAGTCAACACTTTCGCAGATTCCAAATGCTAATCGCAATATGCAAATTTTGTTTGAGCATCCAAAAGTGCTTGTTTCGAACTGAAACTTTCAGTTACCTGGGGAAATTTTTCCCATGAACGCTGACAATCAAATTCGTTTCCTCAACATCGACCGTTTGTGGAAGAATATAGGCAATTGATGGCTTCGATTGGCACAAATTTGACGGGCAATCACCACAGCTGATCCCTTTCCATCCATCGTGACAGATGCAAGTTCTAGAATGTTTTTTGACTTAAAAGAATTAGTTGACGAGATTGAGCTTTTAGGTTGATAATCTGTGCTTCTTTATCTGTGATTCTTTCTCTGTGATTCTTTCTCTGTGATTCTTTCTCTGTGTCTCTTTCTCTGTGTCTCTTTCTCTGTGATTCTTTCTCTGTCATTCTTCCTCCGTGATTCTTTCTCTGTCATTCTTTCTCTGCTATTCTTTCTTGAGGTATCTTTTTATCTTTTGGGTGTGTTTTGAGTGGTGTCCTGGGTGATTATTGTGATCTTGTTTTGTCGCTATTTAACTGAATAAAGCATATATATGTTGTGTCCGATTTAGATTGAAAACAGAAAACGCTTAAGAATATATATTAAGCATGTTTATATTATTGTTCAATCTATATAAGATTTAGATTGAATCTAAATCGGACACAACATATATAATTTCGAAACTTAATGATTTCAAAAAATGACTCAAAGGTTTAAAGAGTGAAAACTAGTTTTTTTTAGCTCTTTTTATCTTATTATCGCATTTCGCGGTGAAAAGATCGCGGTGAAAAATTCGTGTTTCAAATTGAGGCTTTAAATTGAGGCCTAAAATCTCTTTAACTAATTTTGACTGATCTTTGACTCATCTTAACTAATCTTTAACTGATTTTGACTAATTTTGACTAAACTTAACCAATCTTTAGCCAATCTTTAGCCAATCTTTAACCAATCTTTAACCAATCTTTAGCCAATCTTTAACCAATCTTTAACCAATCTTAACTAATCTTAACTAATCTTTAACTTTAATTTGCCGAATCAATTTATTTACTTGATGCAATTGAATAGAATTTGAAATAGTCTTTTCGTTTTTACAATAAATCCCTCACTTTGCAATTGGATCGCATTCCCCGTGTTCACACGGCGGATCACAGCCGACACAGTCCTCCGTTGAGCATTCATTGCAAGTTGGGCCTAGAAATTTTCGGTTTTTTAGACTATCCAGCTAATGATTAACAAGCTAATGACATTAATTAACACTTTCAGCTCACTAGACGGCAAATTTCCAACGCGAACCTAATTCCACCATTGTTTTCTTAGCCGTTTCTTGGCCGATTACTCTGAAATTTTGTCTACAAGCTGGAAATGTTGATTTCTATCGAGCAATCAGAGTAATCGACCAAGTTTCACCTTTTTCTCTTTAATTTAGTTTAATTACGCAGAATTTAAAGTGTTTTGTCATGGCTCGGGAATTAAAGTTCCTCAAAAAATGATAACGGATTCAGATTCTTCATCTTTCAATTTAAATAACTTTGATCTTAACTTTAAATATTAGCTTGGTAAATATGAAAGGTTATTTTTTACAAAAAATATTGCCCTGTCGTTACGAAGAACATTCGTTGTCTAGGATTTTTCTCAATAATATGTCAAAATGTGCTCATGTTTTTTTTGCAAAAAACTTTTTTTTGTTTTGGACAATATTTGTATTGTTTCAGCTCGGCAAAGATGGATAACCAAAAATTTAAAATCAGGGCCGCCATTTTCTTTGAATTCAAGTTAAACAAGAAAGCTACGGAATGCCATCAGAACATTTGTATTGTTTTTGGAGAAGCTGCTCTTACTTACAAACAATGTTGTGTTTGGTACGATCGCTTCAAAACGGGAAACGAGTCATTGGAAGATGCACCACATGGAAAGCCGCCGATTACTTTGGACGATCAGCTGTTACTGAACGAGGTCGACTTGGATCCATCGCAAAAGTGTTGAAAATTAGCAGAAAAGTTCGGATGCACTCATGTTACCATTTACACGTTCTTGGGAAATCATATCGAAGCGGGGAATGGCTCCCCACGACCTCACTGATGCCCACAAAGTCACACGAGTCACCTTGAGCTCTGTCCTTCTACGTAAAGCTAGCCATCGTGACTTTTGGAAGTATTTTTTGACATCTGATGAGACTTGGCTTTCGTATGAAAATATTCAACTCTATGGACAGTGGCTGAGTTCGAAGCAGACCTCTCATCCTATCCCGAAGCCTCCGAAAAAGTTATGCTTTGTGTGTGGTGGAATGCTAAGGGGTTGGCTCATTTTGAAATATTAGATAAAGAAGACACTGTTGATGGAAGACTTTTAGCAGAACAACTGGGTCGAGTCGATCGAGCACTGAGAAAAAAGCGGATCGATCTATCAAAGGTCAGATTTCTTCATGACAATGCTAGGCCTCACATTTCAAAGATCGTCCACGAACAAATCGACAAGTTGAGCTGGAAACTTCTTCCACACCCACCATACAGCCCTGATCTAGCCCCATCGGATTACCATCTCTTTCGGTCAATGAAACAAGCAGTTTCTGGACAGCAGTTCAAACAAAAGCAAGACATCGAAAATTGTGTTGCCAACTATTTTGCCTCTAAAAATCTTCAATTTTACGAGGACGGCATTCGTGATTTGGAGCAACGTTGGAAAGAAGTTATTAATGCTTCTGGTGAATACATTTGATTTTGAAAGTGCTTAAATAAATTTTTCGGTTATGTTAAAAATGATCAAAAAAAATAACCTTTCATATTTACCAAGCTAATAAGTTTAAATGACTTTAAATGACCTTAAATGACTTTAAATAAGTTTAAATAACTTTAAATGACTTTAAATAGCTTTAAATAGCTTTAAATAGCTTTAAATGTCTTTAAATAACTTTAAATAACTTTAAATGACTTTAAATGACTTTAAATAACCTTAAATTACTTTAAATTACTTTAAATAGCTTTAAATAGCTTTAAATGTCTTTAAATAACTTTAAATAACCTTAAATAACTTTGAATTCAGTCTGCAAAAGTTTAACAGTTAATAAAATTTGAAAATAGCGAAAGGAAAGGCAAAAAAAAGAATGTTTCAAATAAATTAAGATTATTTAAATTCATCGAATGGCAATAAAAGGGCATTTTTCATTCTTTTAAACCCAGAACATAGCTTTTAAACGAATCATTAGCTTCATTTTACCCCGATAATCGATAAAACATTGACATTGCTCGGGACTTGAGCAAATCCCGTTAAACGAGCAACGCGTCGAGCAAATCGGCGTCCTGCAGCGCTTCCCGTGCCAACCCTCGTCGCAAGCGCAATTCCCTGTCTAAAATAGATTTTTGTTGTTTGAATTGTTTTGTTGTACAGGGTGCGCCATAATTATTGCAACAAGAGTTCAGAGACCGTTTGTGATGTCAAGAATGTGATGTCATGGGCGTGTAAAGCCAATAACAATCAAAATTGGACCTTCATGCAAGATGGAGCTCCCGCTCACACGAAAAAGACGGTTCAGGACTGGTGTGTGGCCAACTTTCCCTCAGTGATCACCAAGGATGAATGGCCTCCAAACTCACCGGATCTCAATGTGATGGACTTTTCCATTTGGGCAATCTTAGAGGCTAATGTCTGCTCTCGAAAACACACAAGTTTGGATTCTTTGAAGAAGTCTTTGACCAAAGGATGGAAGCCGACTCCTCAAGATGACATTCGGGTCGCAGTGGAGGCATATCCGAACCGATCAAGGGCTGTTATCAAGGCAAAAGGCGGTCATATCGAATGATCTCTTGTTTCCTCATTTGTTGCTGTTAAATAAAGCTATTTCTGTTTAAAAATCTTCTTCCAGTGAAACTTCTTGGTGTGCAATGCCTTGAGTATCTTGTTGCAATAATTATGACGCACCCTGTATTGTTTTTTGTATTGTTTTTTTAATGGCTACATCGTATCAAAGAACTCCAAAGATTAAAAAAACCATTTATAAGTTAGTTTTAACATCGAAACATCGAAACCCTCATTTTTAACTCTTTAAAACATACTGAGCAATTCCCGTGAAAGCAGTTACTCGGTGAGCACATTTCGATTGAGCAATCAGGGCCTGAACATTTCAAAAAGTCAATTTTCCTTTAATGATTAACTTTTTAAAGTTCAGAAAAGATTGAGCATAAAAAAGGAAATCATAGTTTCAAGTTTTCCTTACTTTAGATACTCATTTCTTTTAGAAATCTCAGTTTTCACAGAAATTTTTCGATTTCTCCGAAAGTTCATAGTTTTTTAAAACAAAAAACTTTAAAATTTCACTATTTTAGCTATTACAGCTATTACAGCTATTACAGCTATAGCTATTACAGCTATTACAGCTATAGCTATTACAGCTATTACAGCTATAGCTATTACAGCTATTACAGCTATAGCTATTACAGCTATTACACTATTACAGCCATTACAGCTATAGCTATTACAGCTATTACAGCTATTACAGCTATTACAGCTATTACAGCTATTACAGCTATAGCTATTATAGCTATTACACTATTACAGCTATTACAGCTATAGCTATTACAGCTATTACAGCTATTACAACTATTACAGCTATAGCTGTTACAGCTATTACAGCTATTACAACTATTACAGCTATTACAGCTATTACAGCTATTACAGCTATTACACTATTACAGCTATTACACTATTACAGCTTTTACAGCTATAGCTATTACAGCTATTACAGCTATTACAGTTATTGCAGCTATTACAGCTATTACAGCTATAGCTATTATAGCTATTACACTATTACAGCTATTACAGCTATTACACTATGTCACTATTACAAGAATTGAGCCCTTTCAAGACTATATTTCGTGTAAACTCTGTTTCCTCTTTCATTCATTACATTAAATAAACAATAATCTGTTTAAATTTACACTTTTTCCAAGGAAAAGCGCTTGAAAAACAAGATAAAAGTGTGAAATTACGAAATTCAATCTTTAAATACAAGTTTCTAAACCTTTAACTTTAATTTTAGTCTAAATTGAGAGCTTTCGAGAAAAATATCGATCGAAGACGGTTTTTAGTTGGCTTAAAATGAATTCTTTTTCTTTTCAAACAAAACTAGTAACTAGTAACCTAGTGACCTAATAAACTGTTTACTAGGTTACTAGGTTACTAGATTACTAGATTACTAGGTTACTAGGTTACTAGATTACTAGATTACTAGGTTACTAGGTTACTAGATTACTAGATTACTAGGTTACTAGGTTACTAGATTACTAGATTACTAGGTTACTAGGTTACTAGGTTACTAGATTAGTAAGTTGCTAGGTTACTAGGTTACTAGATTATTAAGTTACTAGGTTACTAGATTAGTAAGTTACTAGGTTACTAGGCTACTAGTAATCTAGTAAGCGAGATTATTAGATTACTAGGATACTAGGTTACTAATAATCTAGTAAACTAGACTACTAGATTACTAGGTTACTAAACTAGATTACTAGGTAATCTAGTAACCTAGTTTACTAGATTACTAGGTTAGTAGGTTACTAGGTTACTAGGTTACTAGTAATCTAGTAAACTAGATTTCTAGCTAACTAAACTAGATTCTAGCTAACTAAACTAAACTTGCAGTGAAAAAGCTTTGAATAACTTTAATTAGCTTTAATAGATAGAAAAACAAAATAAACTTTTCTTAAAAGTTTCAAGTTGCACGGGCTTTAAGAAAACTTTTAAGTTTTAATCGACTCATTTCCAATTTTGTTTTAAAAGAATACAGATTTTATATTTTTACCTGTATATCCTGCATCGCAAAAGCATCGATCTGATGACGTGCAATAGCCGTGATTCGAGCAATTGCGCAATTCAGGACAAAGCGCTGAAAATAAGGGCTTTTTTTTAAAAGGTTTTCACAAAATTTTAACGTTTTTAAGGTTTAAGGGTTTATGGTTGAAGCTTTAGGGTTAAAGTTTTCTTTTAAACAAGTTAATTTACTGCTGGATATCTCTCTAATTAGCCAAAATTTGACTAAAGATTATGAAAATTCAATAAAAAGAAATTTTTTCAAAAATTTTAAAGTAAAGGTTTCAAATGTAAACGAATTAAATGATGGTTTCGCAATTTAATCGTAGAAATGAGCTGATAGATGTAGAATTTAAAAGCGACAAACTTTTGAAATTGATTTTCAGGTGAACCTAAAGCTTTTAAAGCTTTTAGAACATTTAGATAGAAAGATTTTTAGAAAGACAGTTTAGCCGACAGTTTAGCCGACAGTTAAGCAATTTAGCCGACAGTGTAGCCGACAGTTTACCCGACAGTTTAGTTGTCAGCTAAACCGTCAGTTTAGCCGACAGTTTAGCCGACAGTTTAGCCGACAGTTTAGCAATTTAGCCGTCAGTTTAGTTGTCAGTTTAGTTGTCAGTTTAGCCGACAGTTTAGTTGTCAGTTAAACCGTCAGTTTAGCCGACAGTTTAGCCGACAGTTTAGCCGATAGTTTAGCCGACAGTTAACCCATCAGTTTAGCCGTCAAGTGTTGTGCTTTCATACAAATCTAGCAAAGAATCTTGTGATTTTGCGTTCCTGCTATTTAAAAAATCAGCTTTAAAAAGTTTCTGTTTCAAATTTCAAATAATCAAGTGATTTTCTTTGAAATTAATTACATCGTAATTGAAAATGGCGGTACTTATAGGTTATGGACAATGATATTAATTAGCCTTTTACCACGCAATAATGCATAATCTTTCTCCTTTGCCTGATTTTCATTTCGTTCACGAAGAATTTTGTGTACTCTTTCAGCTCTACTTCTGCTTACGATTTTGGTTCTATCCCACCATTAAAATCCCCGTTTTTCAACATAGAAGTGACAATAAAACGAATTTGGAATTAGATTAGGCTTATTTACACAACTACTTACACAACTTATCACAACTTTCAAACGTTAAATTGAAAGCAAACCCCATTTATAACCAAATACTTCTAAATTTGCATATAAAGAGAGAAAAATTCAGTTTTCCTGGCTTTTCCTGGCTTAACATGACGCAAATCTTATGAATTCAAATTTTTCTTTATTCAACCCATAAGTATTCAGTTGAATCATTGATTTTTATTGATTAATTATTGATTTTTATTGATTAATTATTGATTTTTCTTTTCCAAACCCAGCGAACAGTCGACTCCCATCCATCCGGCATAGCAAGAACACAGAGAACCCGAACAACTGAAAGAGGTTTTGATGTTTTGATGATTTTTTGATGTTTTGATGATTTTTTGATGTTTTGATGATTTTTTTTGATGTTTCAAAGTCAATCATACCCAATCTAAACAGCTAGACATCAACAACCAACTGTATTTGAATCAGAAACAATTGAAAAGCTCATTTTTTTACAACCAAATTCGTTGTTGATTTATCACTTTTTAATGTTACAGTTAAGATCCATCGCAAATTTTAACTACCTTATTCTCTCTAATAGTAGTGCACCGTAAAGGCTTAGGATTAGGCTTAGGCTCAGGCTCAGGCTCAGGCTTAGGCTCAGGCTCAGGCTCAGGCTCAGGCTTGGGCTTAGGCTTAGGCTTAGGCTTAGGCTTAGGCTCAGGCTCAGGCTCAGGCTCAGGCTCAGGCTTAGGCTTAGGCTTAGGCTTGGGCTGAGGCTTAGGCTAGTGGGGATTAGAGTCTTTTGATTTGAGCTTCTGGGAAAATTTAGAAACGGTAAAATAGTCATTAACTCCGCCGGGTGCACTACTATTAGAGGAAATACGGCAAATATTATATAAGCTTTTCAGATATCTCACTTATTTCGCGAATCTCCTTTCGGTAAAACTTTTAACATAACTTTTAAAATTTTGTTTTAAAATGTTGCCCTAAATGTTATTTACTGAAATGATTTGGAATTTGGCTCTTAGTTTATATAAAATAGCTTCAATTCAATAGCTTCTATTCAATAGCTTATAGCTTTTAGCTTAGCTTATAGCTTACCGTATTCTCTCTAATAGTAGTGCACCCTAAGCGTTGCCTAAATTCCTCGAAATCTCGAGAACCGCTTATCAAAACCTATCGATGTGGGGTCGGAAAATGTAGCTGACGATGAGATCTAGTGGGGGATTCGAGTGTTGAACTTCTCCGAAAACTTTGGAAGCCGTAAAATAGCTATCAACTCGGGTCGGCGAGGAGAATATCGGCGAGGAGAATCATGTTTCAAAGTTTCAAAGCTCAAAAGTCAACAGAAAACTTTAAACCTGGATTGCATTTTTTGTTAAAAATAGTGTCCAATTTTGAGCTTAGATATTACTTTTTATATTATTATAAGAGTTTTCAGCAAATTTCAACTAAAAACCAACCTCCCGTGTGCGCAAGCGATCATGCAAACAGGCGGCAAAATCTCTTGACAATCCTTTCCCGAATATCCACCATTGCATAAACAACCCGATACTATAAAAGAAGTTTTAACAGTTTAACAAAATTACTTTCAAAAACTCATAAAATAAGCCATTTATTAACTAAATACGCTAGAAAAAGCTTTTCAAAGAAGTCAGGGAAGTCAGAGAAGCCAGGGATGTCAGTCAGTCATGTATCTTGTTTTACAAACAACAATAACTGTGTAAATGACTTTCATAGACTGATTTTTCTTCTGAATTTGATTCTTGATTGTGTTTCCCAATTGAACAAAAAGATTAGAGTGAAATTGGCCAAGAGATCCCACTTTTCCCATGGAAACCTATTGACATTTACAACGAAAATCCCCAGATCTAATCTAGAGCCTTACTTTCACTTACATGTACACGTTCCATGTCCTCCGCAACCGCCAGCACAAGCCGAACTCTCTCTACCGATCGTCGAAATGTCGATCGGTGTGATGTCGATTAGTGATCCACGTGGCGGAATGATATCGACTTTGGAAAGATCTGAAACAAGGTTTTTCATTAACATTGGATAAGATTATGGAAAAAGGACACGTTTTAAGAAACAGACTTTTTAAGAATACTTTTTTAAGAACTTTGAAAAGATCTAAAGCAAAGTTTTACATTATTTGTAAATTTGGAAGTGGGTTTTAAAATGGCAATTGAACTACTGGACTGAACTACTGACTACTGAACTCAACTACTGACTACTGAAGCTCTTGAACTGAACTACTGAACTACTGAAGCTCTTGAAATGAACTACTGAAGCTCTTGAAGTGCACTACTGACTACTGAACTACTGAACTACTGAACAGAACTACTGAACTGAACTACTGACTACTGAACTATTGAGCTGGACTACTAAACTGAACTACTGACTACTGAACTGAACTACTGAACTACTGAAGCTCTTGAAGTGAACTACTGAACTGAACTACTGAAGCTCTTGACGTGAACTACTGACTACTAAACTACTGAACTGAACTACTGAACTACTGAAGCTCTTGAAGTGAACTTGAACCAAATGTGATCTAGTTTAGATCATTTAAAAGATATATCTTTTCTCAAAGAGGATAGCTTTTGAAAGATTTTGAAAAGCTTTTCTTTTTGAATATTTTTGGTGCAAGTTATTAAAATTAAAAAAACAGAAATTTGACTTCACAGAATTTTTTAAAGATTTCGAAATAAAGATTTTTTCAAAAAAAAAAATGCAAATCACATTTATTAAATTGAAAATAGATCACTATTTGATTGAAGAGCCATAAGAGAAAAAAAATGAGCTCAATTTGAAACATTAATCTCTTAAATCTTAATCTCTTAATCTCTTAAATCTCTTAATCTCTTAAATCTCTTAATCTCTTAATCTCTTAATCTCTTAATCTCTTAATCTCTTAATCTCTTAATCTCTTAAATCTCTTAATCTCTTAATCTTTTAAATCTCTTAAATCAAAGCTTCAATTCAAATTCTTTTAAACTCAAAAACCTTGTTTCAATTTCAAAAAGATTAGAGGCTTTTTTAAAACAATAACCTTGACATTTCCCAATACATCCGATTTTTGGCTTGATCTCCTGCACGAGTTGCGTTCCCCAGAAGTTATTAGTGAGATCAAGTTTCTGAAATTAGAGAAAAAAGTAGAAATAGTTCTTGGATAGTTTTTTTCATTTTTTACAATCTGAGAGGATGAATGTTTTTGCATAATTCTCACCTTTTCTCCACTATAAAGCACCTCGCGTGGAGTCTTCGGATCGCGCAACTCGTTGCTCACGATTCTAGTAATTTAAATGTTTTAAAAATTTTCACTTTGACTTGATTCGACCAGAATCTATTCTCCGTATCTATTGCCAGAAGCTAGCCTGTTTTTGCCTTTTCTCGGGTAATCAAATACGGTTTTCAGACATTGCTATTGGTAATCCAACTTTGAGCTCAAATTTCTTGGTGTTCGGCTGGTCAATTTAAATAGTTTTGGTATTATTAGATGCGCCAAGTCTTTCTCTATCGATTGGTATAAAAACTATTGAAATTGGATAGCCCAGCACAAAGATATTTGAGCTTAAAGTTAGCTTGCCAATGGCAAAAGGGGCGGGACGCGTATATTTATGTCGGACATTTGATACGCGATATTCTATCAAATATACGCTTAATCTATTGCTAGTATTTCTAGTGTTTGAAATAGTTTTCCCCCTTTGTTTTTTGCCTCATTTTCTAGCGTTTCGGCACTGTTGCAGTGCCGAAACGCTAGAAAATAAAGATCGTTCAAATCTCAAATCATCCTTTAGCTTTTGAAACATAATTTTCCCAACTCACCGGAAATCTCCGGAATCGTGCTTTAGCTAGCACAACAAAACATAAGTAAAGATCGTTCAAAAGCTTTTTTAAATATCACCAATCGATCTAGCATATATGAACTCAAGAAAAAATGAAATAAACATTGATAAAACGATCGAAAAACAAAAGCTGATCAAATGCGATTAAAAGCTGATTAAATGCGATCAAAAGCTGATTAAATTCGATCAAATTCGATTAAATTCGATCAAATTCGATTAAATTCGATCAAATTCGATTAAATTCGATCAAATTCGATTAAATTCGATCAAAAGCTGATTAAATTCGATCAAATTCGATTAAATTCGATCAAAGTGCTCCCGAATTTAGTACTATTAATACAAAGGTTTGTTTTATGCAATACTTTGCAGCTTAAGCTTTATTTCTTGATCACTTTTGAAACACAATTTTCTCAACTCACCGGAAATCTCCGGAATTCACCTCGATCACCGCCTCATTGTTGACGTTTCTTGAGAAAATGTTCTCAAAAATTGTTCCATTGAAACTAAATAAGCAAATGTTTCAAATTTGTTTCAAATTGCAGCTTTTAATGAGTAATAATTTTAATGATTTTAACGATTTTAATGATTTTAATGATTTTAATGATTTTAATGAATAAAATGATTAAAATGACTAAAATGGTAATGAATAAAATGGAAAAACTTAATTGTTATTGAAATTCAAGTGCAAAGCGATTCCGGATTGTTATTAGTTTTCAAAATTTGACCTTTGACTTTGAATTTGACCCAAAATTAATTAAATTAATTGAAAGGAACTTTTTAAAGAATACTTTCCTTTTTACTTTAAAACAGTAATTGAAATGTTGTTATTGTTGTTGTTTTGGTTCTTGTTAGATACAGGCATTAAACTAAAACCCCTTCAATCTATTTACTCAACTTTGAAACATTCATTTTTTCAACCTTTTCCCGCTTTGATTCTCTAGAGAAAGTGTCGATTTTGAAGCGGTATTTCCATTGAATTTGTTCGCGTAAAGAAGAATTTCCGAAATTGGATTGCCCTGGAAACTTCTATAAGTAAAAAAATAGGTAGTTGTCTGTTTTTTTTTGTCTTTTATATGTATTTCAATACTGCTTTACTAGCAGTAAATCCTTAATTAGTCAGCGTTCAATATAAATTGTCTAAAATTGTCTTAAATTGTCTAAAATTGTCTTAAATTGTCTTAAATACTTTAAACTATCTTATTCTGATTAAAAATCTGATTAAATACTGTTCCAAGTTGATGGCAAATCTTTGATAAACAAATTTTGATACTTTTCAGTTATTCCCCCCTTTAACTTAAATAAGTTTAAATCGTGTTCAGTTCGATCAAGGAACTATAAAGGAGCTATAAAGGAATTAAATAGGAGCTATAAAGGAGCTATAAAGGAGCTTTAAAGGAACTATAGAGGAATTATAAAGGAGCTTTAAAAGAGCTTTAAAGGAATTAAATAGGAACTATAAAGGAGCTTTAAAGGAACTATAAAGGAGCTTTAAAGGAGCTTTAAAAGAACTTTAAAGGAACTATAAAGGAGCTTTAAAGGAGCTTTAAAGGAATTAAATCGGAACTATAAAGGAACTATAAAGAAACTATAAAGGAACTATCAAGGAAGTTAAGGAATTAATTAAATTCATTAAAAACAGTTCGATTTAGCGTTTATTTTATGTCATTTACTTTATTTTAAAGCTATCATTTGAATAATAATCGTTTTTAAACAATAAAATATATAAAAGTTTTGAGAAAAACACATTTCAAGCTTAAGCACTTTTTGGAAATGAGCGATTAGGGCGAGAATTACTTTCTCGCTCTAATCGGAAGTACTTCCACTCAAGAAGTTGTTGGATGATCTAGTGGATAGTGTGCTCCTCTTGTCTCTGGTTTGAATCCTCCAATCAATCAACACTTTTCTTTTCTTATTAAAGAACTAAAAGCTATTTTTAAGCCTTCTAAAGAATTACTTCCATTCAAAAAGTGAGTGGATGATCTAGTGGATAGTGTGCTCCTCTTGTCTCTGGTTTGAATCCTCCAATCAATCAACACTTTTCTTATTAAAGAACTAAAAGCCAAGCCTTCTTTTTAAGCCTTCTAAAGTGCCTACAAACATGGAATAACTATCAAAGTATCAAAACTCAAAATTTACGTCGAATTTTGGCGCAATTGAAACATCAACGAGCGAGCGATCGCTTTTCCCGCTATTCCTTTCGAAAGTATTGTAGAGTATCTAAAAATGAAGAAAGCTTATTAAAAAGCTTTTTAAAAAGCTTAACTTTATATTATTTTATTCAAATTAACCTGTGCACTCGCGCATTCACCCAATTCGATCCTCAATGGAGCGTCAGTGTTCTCGACAAAATTGGCACCGATCACATGGAGATTCGACGGGATTTCATGGCACTAAAGTAGTAAAAACTAGTCAATTTCGCATTTAGAACTAGGTAAATAGTGCCAAAAGTGTACTCTAACGTCCTCTAACGTCCTCTAACGTACTCTAACCGCCTCTAACGTACTCTAACGCCCTTCTACAGTACTCTAACGTCCTTCTACAGTACTCCAGTATACTGTAGTGTATTTCCATACACTACAGTATACTGGAGTATAAATAGTGCTTAGATTTAGGCTGAAAATTCGACTTTGAAACTTTTGAAACTCTTAGAAAATTCGACCTTGAACTTGAAACCCAGCGCAGGCACGGAATTTGCTTGAAAATTCCCTCCAAAAACGTCAACAACTCCAGCTGATCCCTCATAGAAAATGCCGCCAGAACCGAATTTTTGATTCCTGAAAATCGGAATATATCGTGCTCGCTAAAATTACTTAAAGAATACTTCAAGTTAAACGATTAAAGTCTTATTTTAGCTTCTTTAACCTTCTTTAGCCTTCTTTAACCTTCTCTAACCTTCTCTAACCTTCTCTAACCTTCTCTAACCTTCTCTAACCTTCTTTAACTTTCTTTAACTTTCTTTAACTTTCTTTAACCTTTTTCTTTAACCACTTCCATTTGAAACTTACATCACTGAGACGTTTCTCAACTCAAAGCGCTCCAACTTTTTTGCCGGATCGTCGAAAAGCTTTATCGAATACCCGTTTTCTGGTGGCGAGAGATTCGAAAGCTAAAATAGTTTCTTTTCACAAATTATTTAATATTCTAACATTGAAATCTTATTCGAGACAATCGAACCGACTTACAGAGTGCGCCAAAATTCCCCGAACGACTTTTTGACTTTAGTTATCGCACGTTTAATTCATTTCAAAATCCCAACTATTGGGTTGGTGAATTGAAAGCTGTCATATGGCACAGTTTGAGCACTTTGAGCACTTTCTTCAAGAGAAACCCATTTTGGTGTCAATGGAAAAGTTGTAGAGAATCAAAAATCAAGCTTATATCCAAATATTCAGAACGATTCAAAAACTGGCTTTCAAGAAATGCCAAATTTACGAATTTTCACAAAACTTGCATTTTAAGCGAAACTACTAAGTGTATCTTTTTGAAAATTTGGCTTTAAGCCTAATTTTTGATTCTCTACAACTTTTCTATTGACACCAAAATGGGTTTCTTTTGAAGAAAGTGCTCAAATGCTCAAACTGGGACATCTCCAGTCCTCCATTTTTGAGTCTCACACTTGTCTCACACACAAACCAAAATCCTACTACGAAAGGGGAATCCGCAAATTGCCTGTAAAATGGGCAGAAGTCGTCAATAATAATGGAAATTATTTGGAATGAATTGATGGTTTTATGTTGAATAAATTTTAGTTCAAAGTTCGGCAGTTTTCAATTCACCAACCCAATATTATATTGAGAATTGTAGCTCTTAATCTTGGCTACATTTATCTACTAAAAACTATTAAATTTCTATGTAGAAAATAAAAAATGACACGAATCGTCTAGTGCTCATTCAAGGATTTTTTAAATTAATTGCATAAGTCCGATTGGGATGTTTTTAGTAGATAAACTTTAGGAACTACAAAATCATTTTCGCTAATTTTCCAAAAGAAAACTGTTAACTCTTTTGTTTTCTAAGAAAATTGTCCTTTTGTAAAGCGCAACACTATGTCGAACCCTTTAATTAACAATTTCATTCGACTTTTCCTTTTATTAAAAGTAAAACTTGACAATTTTACAGAATGAGATTTTACTAGCAAGAATGAGATGAATTCACTTCAAAGCCTCTCCTTACAGCTTATAGACGACTTTAAAGTAGTCTAATAAAAGTAAAAATAGAGTAAACCTTTATTTTAACTACAGTTTTAATAGTAATAGTAACAAAGCCGACTAAGTTTTGAGAAACAGAATCAAAGCCTCGAATCCAGCCTCGAATTCAGCCTCGAACCAAAGCCTCGAGTTCAAAGCCTCGAACCAAAGCCTCGAGTTCAGCCTCGAACCAAAGCCTCGAACCAAAGCCTCGAGTTCAGCCTCGAACCAAAGCCTCGAACCAAAGCCTCGAACCAAAGCCTCGAACCAAAGCCGAATCCAGCCTCGAATTCAGCCTCGAACCAAAGCCTCGAACCAAAGCCTCGAACCAAAGCCTCGAACCAAAGCCTCGAACCAAAGCCTCGAACCAAAGCCTCGAACCAAAGCCTCGAATCAAAGCCTCGAATCAAAGCCTCGAATCAAAGCCTCGAATCAAAGCACTCGAATTTACCTGAACATTCTCCAACGTGAGATTCTTTTTCGGTTTCTCATAAGTGAACCCAGTAGCTGAAGAGTCCTCAATTCGCAGATTACTAAAAAAATCATTTAGAAATGTTTTACTAAACTTTTTCCTAAACATTTCTTCAGATTACTTAACAAATCATTGTGAAAACGAACACGTTGACTACCGTTGACTACCGTTTTTGCATTACTTTTACTACTTTTACGATACTTTGATCAGTTTCCATACCGTATTGCCAAACTTTCGTTTCTTTCCTCGACGAGTACCGCATTTTGTGAAACTCTCCGAATTGTTGAGTGTCCAAAATCAAGATCCGAACCTAGAAATTGACGATGTTTTGGGTAATTAAACCAAAAATATCCAAAAATAGAGCAGTTTTCTTTAAAAACTAATAACAAATTCGAATCCTTGACCCCGAAAACCCTTTGGTGTAAATTTTTAACCCAATAGCCGCAAAAAAAAAAAATTGCTAAATCCACCGGTAAATGTGTTTAAAAGTTTGCGAAATTTCAAACAAATCAACTTTCAAATTTAACAAATAAAGACTGATTTAACAAATAAAAAGATAAAGATAAAGACAAAGACAAATAAAGACCATAACAAGATTGTGATGGTTCTTAGTTTGCATTCATTTTAACACTCATTTTAACACTGACACTCATTTCCAATCACCTCCACTTTCCCCAATCACAATCCCGTTCTTTCTCGTGTTCTCGATCGTGATTCGTTCCATTTGCATATTCGGTGTCTCAACGTGGATTCCATCTATTGCATTTGAGATCAAAACATCAGATAAAGTCGCAGTTGAGTCTAAAATTGTTATTGTATTGAAATGAAAACGAGGATCTCAGTATCCCAACGCAGAAATTTCAAAGAAAGAAATCCGATCTCAAAACAGCGCCGCTCAAACTCTCAGGTCTCACTTCGTTCGTCGGTCAATTGATGTCAAGACTTATTTTCGTAATCTCATTAATGATGCTCTGGTTGCTCTTCCAAATCCAAAAAATTATTTGATCTTTCTTTGATATGATGGAACTAAGCACATTTAGTTTTGTTCGACTTTTTCGAGAAGAATTATATCGATCATATGGGCGCATATGGTCGCTACGTTTTTCCACGGTATTAAATGGAAATGTAGAATGTTCGGTCAATCGATGTCACGACTTATTTTCGTAATCTCGTCAATGATCCCTGGTTGCTCTACCAAATCGGAAAAATTATTTGATCTTTCTTTGATATGATGAAACTATGCGCATTTAGTTTTGTTCGACTTTTTCGAGAAGAATTATATCGATCATATGGGCGCATATGGTTGAGTCTAAAATCGTTATTGCATTGAAATGAAAACGAGGATCTCAGTGTCCCAAAGCAGAAATTTCAAAGAAAGAAATCCCATCTCAAACTCTCAGGTCTCACTTCGTTCGTCGGTCAATTGATGTCAAGACTTATTTTCGTAATCTCGTCAATGATCCCTGGTTGCTCTACCAAATCCAAAAAATTATTTGATCTTTCTTTGATATGATGGAACTAAGCACATTTAGTTTTGTTCGACTTTTTCGAGAAGAATTATATCGATCATATGGGCGCATATGGTCGCTACGTTTTTCCACGGTATTAAATGGAAATGTAGAATGTTCGGTCAATCGATGTCAAGACTTATTTTCATAATCTCGTTAATGATGCTCTGGTTGCTCTTCCTAATCGGAAAAATTATTTGATCACTCTTCGTATTTGACCAAATACGAAGAGCGAGCAAATTGGAAACTCTTCACAAGAGTCTTATAAAGGTCAAAGGGTCGTTTGAAATTCCTTGACTTTGATCAATTTGAAACTCACTTTCTGACAGCACGACGCCGCCCCACGGATTCGTTTCGTCATTTGCGAGAAGTCGAATCGGTCTCGAAAGCGATCCATTTGCATAAAGTTTACCTAAAATTTCAAGGAAATTGTCTTTTAAGGCTTTCAAGGCTTTTAAAGCTTTAAAGCTTTAAAGCTTTAAGGCTCTGTTTTTCAAGGAAATTGTTTAAGGTTTATAGATTTTTATAGTTTTAAGGATTATTTAGCCTTTCAAGATCAACGATCACGATCGATTTAGCAAAAAATTTCGAAAGAAACTTTGCGACTCACCCTTTACCACCATTTTTGCTCCACTTGAGAATTTGAGTGTTGTCCCTGGCTCGATGATCACCACTTTCCCCTCGGGAATCACGAGATCTTGTGTGATTCTGAAATGTTGAATCAAAAAAAATGTAAAAGAATGAAGAAAGTATAGGCAGAAAATTTTGCTGGAGTTTTTTAAGTTTATTGAAAACAAGGTTCCATTTTTTTGATAAGATGACTTTTAGTTTTGTTTGAATTCAAGTTATTATCAAAATTAGGTTATTAAAACGTTTGTTCACTAACAAATACGGTCGTCCATTGTTCACGAATGTGTTGTAAAGATGAGTGAACGGGGGCGTTGGCTGAGTTTCTGTAAATGATCATCAATTTTATAAAATTATATCTAAAATGGCTTAATTTCAAATTTAGCATTTATTAGACTGTCGAGGGGTTTCCTTATTAGGCTTTTCCTTGTTTTACACTTCTTAGAATGAGTTGTTTCAAAGATTGAGAAGAGAAAGAAGATGAGGATGAGGAGATGAGGATGAGGAGATGAGGATGAGAAGATGAGGATGAGAGGATAAAGATGAGGATGAGGAGATGAGGACGAGGATGAGGATGAGGAGATGAAGATGAGAGGATGAAGATGAGGATGAGGAGATGAGGATGAGAAGATGAAGATGAGAAGATGAAGATGAGGATGAGGAGATGCGGACGAGGATGAGAAGATGAAGATGAGAAGATGAAGATGAGGATGAGGAGATGAGGACGAGGATGAGAGGATAAAGATGAGAGGATGAAGATGAGGATGAGGAGATGAGGACTAGGATGAGAGGATGAGGAGATGAGGAGATGAAGATGAGAGGATGAAGATGAGAAGATGAGAAGATGATGATGAGAGGATGAGGATGAGAAGATGAGGATGAGGCTAACAACATAATAACAAATGGGTAAATGAGATTGACAAAGATTTAAGTTTATAAGGGCACTAATTGAAATCTGAACATTTTTACACACTTCCTTTGTCTCAATTCAAATCTCACCTCCAATAAAAAGTGGGCCAGAATAATTAGCAAATGGTAAATAGAGAGCCGCTTCACTTGCGCCAGCATCAATAGCACAAACGCGAAGTAATGGCTGAAATTTTGAACATATTTTCTCGTCAAAAATTTAATCTAAACAAATATCAAACTTTAGGTTTTTAATCTTTTAAGTAATAGAATCTGGATTAATGATAGTTTTACAAGATTCTGAACACTTTTAGCTTATCATTTTCTCGTTTTAAGCTTATCAACTAGAAGCTTTACGGTGAATTTGTGGAATTCGTGAAATTTGTGAAATTTGTGAACTATTTCTCTTCATAATTTCAAACCTCTTTTTCAAATTGATTCAATTGAACATCGTCGATAAGCGGTTTTCTTTGCGGGCCGCTTGTGATCTCACAGTTTGACTGAATACTCATTTTTTTGCAGTTAAACATATTGTCAAAAAAAAGCGTTCCTGGATGTTATTGTAAAAAGCTTTTTCTTCTTTTTACCCGTAATTTTGAAATTTGAATCTGAAATCTCAAAGCTATTAGGTTGTTCGGATCTAAACAAGCGTTACTAAAATTATTGTTGTGAGAGAAGCTTTTAAAACATGTCTTTAGGTAGACAACGATATTCTTGACGGTATTTAAAAGTACGTTATCTTGTGTATATTTGGAATATTTTTAAACGGATAATTTCTGGTTTTTAAGATCTTTGTTTTTGTTGCTTTAGATGACCGACTTCAAATATATAAAGTTCGCGTCTGCCTACTTTACGATTTCAAACTGGGCAAAACAAGAGTGGAGTCCCATCGAGATTTGGTCAAAGCATTTGGGAATGATGTATTGTTTGAAAGCCAATGTCTGGCGATGCCGAGACCCTGGCGATGCCGAGACCCTGGCGATGCCGAGACCCTGGCGATGCCGAGACCCTGGCGATGCCGAGACCCTGGCGATGCCGAGAGCCTGGCGATGCCGAGAGCCTGGCGATGCCGAGAGCCTGGCGATGCCGAGAGCCTGGCGATGCCGAGAGCCTGGCGATGCCGAGAGCCTGGCGATGCCGAGAGCCTGGCGATGCCGAGAGCCTGGCGATGCCGAGAGCCTGGCGATGCCGAGAGCCTGGCGATGCCGAGAGCCTGGGATGCCGAGAGCCTGGCGATGCCGAGAGCCCGGCGATGCCGAGAGCCTGGCGATGCCGAGAGCCTGGCGATGCCGAGAGCCTGGCGATGCCGAGAGCCTGGCGATGCCGAGAGCCTGGCGATGCCGAGAGCCTGGCGATGCCGAGAGCCTGGCGATGCCGAGAGCCTGGCGATGCCGAGAGCCTGGCGATGCCGAGAGCCTGGCGATGCCGAGAGCCTGGCGATGCCGAGAGCCTGGCGATGCCGAGAGCCTGGCGATGCCGAGAGCCTGGCGATGCCGAGAGCCTGGCGATGCCGAGAGCCTGGCGATGCCGAGAGCCTGGCGATGCCGAGAGCCTGGCGATGCCGAGAGCCTGGCGATGCCGAGAGCCTGGCGATGCCGAGAGCCTGGCGATGCCGAGAGCCTGGCGATGCCGAGAGCCTGGCGATGCCGAGAGCCTGGCGATGCCGAGAGCCTGGCGATGCCGAGAGCCTGGCGATGCCGAGAGCCTGGCGATGCCGAGAGCCTGGCGATGCCGGAACGGTGATGAAAGTCTCGAGGATGATGAACACTCAAGAATATCGTTGTCTACCTCAAGCGGTAGACAACGATATTTTGTGGGCTGCCAATCGGATCCATGTCAAACGACGCTTGAACTTGCTCAACAGTTTCTATGTTCAAATTCTACTGTTGATGAGCATCTTCACGGCATTGGAAAGGCGATCAGATGCGGGAAATGGCTTCCTCACGAGTTAAGCAGTGCAAACGCTTGTTTAGATCCGAACAACCTAATAGAAACCTTTAAGAGCTGTAAACTCTAGAAAATAACAATCTTTTACTTTTTACAGGAAAACCAATGATAGTTTTACTTTAAAATCTTTCAAAATTTATACTTTATACTTTTTATACTTTTAAATACATAATAAAATCATAAAACTTTAAAATGCCATTAAAAAAATGCTTTAAAAGTTTGAAAGTTTGAAATTTATGAAAATTCTTCCTATTCTTTGTTTATTCGAATTGCCAATATTCGAAATTCGCTTTTAATTTGTTGATTTTTATTTCACCTGTTGATTGTAGAGAAGATTATAAGAAATATTTGCATTTTGCACGTCAGCATAAATGACATTAAAGGCCAAATTGTTGTAGAAAGTGTTTTTCGCGATGACCACAGTCGGTGGAGTTCGATCTACAGGATGTTGTTCTCACAAAATTACGGAGAAAACATTTTAAACGAATTGAAAAACAAACAAATTGCATGCCAAACGTCGTAAGGCTTCTTGCCGACATTTCCGTACGAAAAGATCTTTGATTGGAGTTTTGTAGCGGATTTTGAAGCCGATTTTGAAGCCGATTTGTAGCGGATTTGTAGCCGACTTTAAAGCCGATTTGTAGCTGATTTTGAAGCCGATTTGTAGCTGATTTTGTAGCCGATTTTTTAGACTCTCTAATGAGCCGAATCTGGCCGAATCTGACCAATCTCAACGAATTCTTTCATCTTTTTTCTAACTAAAAGCTCGAATTTCAAATTGATCGAATTGTGCCCATTTGAAAGTCTGAAAAATCGACTACAAAACTCGAATCGGCTACAAAATCAGCTATAAAATCAGCTATAAACTCAGCTACAAAATCAGCTAAAAAATCGGCTACAAAACTCGAAGCAAAGATCTTTTTGTACAGAAATGTAGACAAGAATTATTATTGATTTGAATGATCTGTCGATTCTTATGCAAATGTGTTCTTCCCTGTGCTTATCCCTTTTATTGCCGAGAAGGGGCGGTCCTTGGGATTGCCTAGGAGGAGAAGTGAGACTCTCATTGGAGAGTTGGAGTTCCCCCTTCCCCTTACACTCATTTGTAGTCTATTCATCTTATTGTACTACTGTAAATAAAGATACATATCTTCCGGGTCTAACTGCAGTAACTCTAACTGCAGTACAGGTCGGTCATTTCACAGGGACTCCCCTCTAATACGTTGGAGGAGTTGAGTTGGGTTGTCGGGGTGTTAGAGATGGCGGGATATGCGGGATATGAAAAGGGATCTCTCTTTAACTCTCACTCTCTTTAAATTAACCCAATCTCTAGTCCACATCCGTTTATACCTAGGAAACCTAGGATTCTACCTAATAACAGTGTTTTCTTGACACATTTTTTTCATAAATCAATTCTTAGAGCGATAAACGATCTTAAACGAGCTTAAAATTTCATATAAATATTGAAAATAAATGCTGAAAGAAAAGACTAGTTTAAATGCAAAAAATACTTTTCAAATTTACCTCTTTGCGCGAGTTTTACAACGGATTCCATCGTGTTCTTGACGAATTGATTATCGGTGACAACGATTCCGGCACCTGAAAGCTTTTAAAAAGATAAAAAAAAGTGAGTTTCAAAGTTGCACAAATAAAAATCACTTTTTGCTTCATCAATTGCAAGTGAATAATCCGACTTTGACTATCCACTTTGAGCACTTTTATTTGATCTTTCGAATTTTTGAGCTATTTGAAAAGATAGTTTCAAATTTCGACGCTTGAAATCACTTTTGGTCAATGTAAGCCACTATTGTCATTGTCATTGTAAGCTATTGTCATTGTCGTTGTCAGCTATTGTCGTTGTCAGCTATTGTCATTGTCAGCTATTGTCGTTGTCAGCTATTGTCGTTGTCAGCTATTGTCGTTGTCAGCTATTGTCGTTGTCAGCTATTGTCGTTGTCATTGCCATTGTCAGCTATTGTCATTGTCTGTTTGTCTATTGACTCGTTAAAACAATTTGTTTTGCCGTATTCTCTCTAATAGTAGTGCACCCGGTCGAGCCGAGTTGATGACTATTTTACGACTTTCAAAGTTTTCCCAGAAGCTCAACACTCTACTCCCCCACTAGATCTCATCCTCATCTACATTTTCCGACCCCACATCGATAGGTTTTGATAAGCGGTTCTCGAGATTTCGATCAATTTAGGCAACGCTCAGGGTGAACGACTATTCTTCATCAGAAATCGTTTTTCTTCTGGTGCAAAAACTGAGCTTCAATGGAGCTTGCTATGAGTGAATATTTCCCTCAAAACTCTTCTCTGCTCACCTGTGCCCAATTCCAAATTGATCAACGCCTCTCGATCAGCTCGTGCATTCATGTGATTGTTTGTAAACGAGTTCGACTCCAAATGAACAGTTCCACGATTTAGAGAACTCATATGAAGAGTTGGACCTAAAATAGAAAGAATAAATAAGGGAAACACTAGAAAACATTCTAACAACTAGCATTCTACGAAACACTAACAACTAAACACATTCAAAATCCGGCTCACCGGCTCACCGGTCGACCGTTCGATCGATCGATCGTTCTAGTAAGGTCGATCGTTCTAATAAGATCGATCGTTCTAGTAAGGTCGATCTTTCTAGTAAGGTCGATCATTCTAATAAGGTCGATCGTTCTAATAAGGTCAATCGTTCTAATAAGATCGACCATTCAGCGCAAGGATTTTGTTATTTATTTGCAGAAATTTACGACTTTGTACTAGTTTTCAAGAGAAGATTTAGAGCTATCGAATCATTAAAATAGTTGTTTATCTTCATCAAATGATCAGTAAAACATTTGACAACTACGGCTACGCTTAAAATCCAAAATCAATGTGTTAATGCCGTCAAAACTTTAAAGAAACCTCGATTTCGAGTGAAATTCCCGTTAAACACATTGATCTCACACGTGTCACTTCGTCCATCAACGATAAGTGCTCCTGGAAAGTTATGTTAGTGATTTTTCAAAAAAATAAGGTTAATAAGTAAGTAAGTATGAAATTAATAGATTAGTCATTTAGTAAAATGACTTTAGAATTAGAAAGATGCCGATCTTTCTAATTCTTTAGAATTAGAAAGATCGGCACTTGTCTCAAAAATTGTTTAAGTAAAGATTTTGTTTTAAATTCTCTTTCTTTCTTCTTTCTTCTTTCCTTTTTCTTTCTTCTCTCTTCCTTCCTTTCTTCTTTTCTTTCTTCTTCCTTCCTTTCTTCCCTCTTTCTTTTGGCAAGTTAAGGTGCTAAGTAGCTCAATGGTTAAAGCAATTAAAGCGATTAGCAATTAGCAAGTAAAGTAATTAAAGCGATTAGCAATTAGCAAGTAAAGTAATTAAAGCGATTAGCAATTAGCAATTAAAGCAATTAGCAATTAGCCATTAAAGCGATTAGCCATTAAAGCAATTAGCAATTAAAGCAATTAACAATTAAAGCAATTAAAGCAATTAAAGCAATTAGCAATTAAAGCAATTAGCAATTAGCCATTAAAGGAATCAGCAATTAAAGCAATTAGCAATTAGCCATTAAAGGAATCAGCAATTAAAGCAATTAGCAATTAGCCATTAAAGCGATTAGCCATTAAAGCAATTAGCCATTAAAGCAATTAGCAATTAAAGCAATTAGCCATTAAAGCAATTAAAGCAATTAGCAATTAGCAATTAAAGGAATCAGCAATTAAAGCAATTAGCAATTAAAGGAATCAGCAATTAAAGCAATTAACAATTAAAGGAATCAGCAATTAAAGCAATTGATCAAGCAAAGTAGCCAAAGCAAAGTAGAAAGCAAGATCGAGATTTCAATCCTTTCTCCTTTCTCTTTCTCTTGCTCATTTCTTTATTACCATCATGATTATCGTAGATATGACAATGATTGAGATAAATCTCCATCCATGAGCACTCGTCCAATTGAACTAAATATTTTAAAATTAGAAAAAGAAAAAGTGATATGAAAAATTGTAGATTTAAATATTGGATTTTCCAGTTATGTCCATTTACTATTTTGTAAATTTCTCAAGATACCGAAATCAAGAAAAAGATATATATGAGTATTATTCGAAAGCTGAAGATCTCCTCTACATTTTGATATAAAAAGTTTTTGAATTTGTTCAGCTTTTGGGCAAATTGACTGCACAGAAGAAGAGGTGGCCAAAAAATGGAAGGGTGCCTTTGGATCAAGTTTTGGCTCCGCTCAAATTGAGTTAATCGTTTGATGTTTGGCCAATAGATATATCAATACAACTTTTTTTTTAAATATAACAATTTCAGAGCATCTTTACTTTTCTTTTCTTTTCTGGGCGGTTATTTTACACCATAAAACTTGAGGAATAGCTAAGCTGGAATGGTTTTTTTTTGAAAACGACCTCTCCCTTTGTGCAGTCAATTTCCCAAAAAGTTGAATGAATTCAAGAACTTTTTTATTCCAAAATTTAGAGGAGATCTTCAGCTTTCGAATGATATATAACACTTCATATACATCTGTTCGATATCTTGAGAAATTTACAAGATAGTAACAACGCGCATTCATAACCGGACAACCCAATAGAACTAGAGAAACTAGATTTTAGTTGTAGTTGTAGTTGTAGTTGTAGATTAAAAGTTGTAGGTTAAAATAGTTTAGAAGAGATTTTTCTTTTCTTGAATTATTTCCATTTTGAATTTTGAATATACAAAATTTTGAAACTTAAAAAATTAAATTCCCAAATTTTCTCTCTCATTTTCTAATTTTTACTAATTTTTACTAATTCTCTCTAAACTCTATTTCTATATTTGTAAAAAAACGTTTTCTATTTTATTTCTATACATTTTAATTTCAAAAACAAACATCACTCACCGGCTGGATTGAGGAAATGGCCGGTGATGTTCACGCCGAATAGATTCAACTCGCGTTTTTCGTTTGCTGAAAACAAAATCTTTAAATTTCAATGAAAGTTGGCCTAAAGGCTTAGGCTAGGCTTAGGCTTAGGCTAGGCTTAGGCTAGGCTTAGGCTAGGCTTAGGCTAGGCTTAGGTTAGGCTTAGGCTAGGCTTAGGCTAGGCTTAGCAAAACTAAAGCCCAATCGCTAATCTCGTGCAAATCTTTTTTGAGAATCGAATTTTAAAGTACTCGTCTTTACTTTCTCCTTTCTCCACTCGTATCCCGTGCATTCCGTTGGCGCCAATCAATGAATTCGCGATGTAAACCGATTTCGTTGCCTTCATAGAAATCCCATCGCGATTATTCGAAAAGGATTGTGATTCGTGGAGAGCTAAAAATACCCAATATTTAACAAGGAGAAAGCATGCAGTCATTATGGATTTAACGTTTGAGCTTTAACTGCTTCATACTTAATTTGAGCTGAATATGTAATTGGTTTTTTGCCCAATCCTTTGTACTGCTTTGTCTGTTTTTTGGGAAGTTTTATCGCTGTTGTTCTTGTTCTTGTTCTTGTTCTAGTTCTAGTTCTAGTTCTTGTTCTTGTTCTTGTTCTTGTTCTTGTTCTCGTTCTTGTTCTCGTTCTCGTTCTTGTTCATGTTCTCGTTCTTGTTCTAGTTCTAGTTCTTGTTCTTGTTCTTGTTCTTGATTTACAAAAGGGATTCATAAGACTAAAAAAAGTTGGAAAAAGGAGAAGAAAATTCACTTCTCAGGATCGAACCTTGTTAGATCTTGTAACGTAGCAACTTACCAGTCAGCCACTGAGCAACGTTTGCATGTGGCTTAACGTCGGGTTATGAAGGTCCCCCAAAAATCTCTCTATTTTCGTTTTTGTTTCTGTTCTATTCGTCTTTTTTCTCTATTCAAAAACTTATTACAAATTCAGCTTAAAAGGTCATAACTCGACGCCGTCTTCTTGTAAGCATCAAAATCTTTTATTTTCAATCTTGATCAGATTAAATCTTATTTAGCTAATTACCTACCGTAAATACTGTAATAGTACCCCACCCCCTCGTACAGTCGCGTAGTCGCAAAAGTTTTTTAGTATTTCCTTTTTTTCAAAGCACCCGTACTTTCAAAAAATTCGTCTTTGGTATCAAAAAATAGCTGAAATTCAGGGCTATTTTTTGATACCTAAGCGCGCATTGTAGCATAAATCAGTGTCGAGAAAAACTCGTTCAAAGCTAGACTACGCAAAACTCGGCACCGTCATTATGGGGCTGGGGTACTATTACAGTATTGACGGTAATGCTTTCAAGCTTTAGACAACACTTTAAAATCTTAAGGTTTCAATTTCGATGAAGTTAAATTTTTTTTTTATTTTTCAATCAGGTCTTTTTGCGTCAGTAAATTTCATCAAATAAATATACAAAAATCAAGAAATTTTAGTTTTAAAATCTATGGATCTTACCCATTTTACCGACATTTTCCAAATGAAAGCCGTCTTGTTTATTTGAAGCGGAGAGACACGAGTCGAATCGAATCGGCGTCTGAAAACAATAAAAATTTGTAGTGTTTTATTGTTAAACACCAAAGTTTAAGCAGTTTAAACAAAGCAAAGCACTCAAATCAATCTTTAAAGAGTTTTAATCTACTCTACTCTTTAATCTACTCTGCCCTTTAAACTACTCTACTCTTTAATCTACTCTACTCATTGTATAATATTTGGTACTTGTGATCGGATCTTAATTTCAAAAAGGCTTCAATTTCTTTATGCTTTTATATGATTCTGCTCATTCGATAAACCATCACCCTGAGATTTCGGCGTATAAAATACTATGAGCGTAGAAAAAGAGCTATGAGCGAGCGTAGAAAAGCGTAGAAAAAGCTGCTATGAGCGTAGAAAAAGCGTAATGAAATGAAGCTTTCGAAGCGAAGCACAAAAACAATGCTTAAGCAAGCACTCAAATCAATCTTTAAAGAGTTTTAAAGCTTTGTTAAGACGAAAAAAAACGATGTTTCAACATTTGGTTGATTTGAGTACGCTTATCGTTTGTTTATCGGTTGATCGCTTTTATTAGTTTCTAAATTTGAAAAAGTTCTAGATTTCTAGCTTTCTAGCTTTCTAGATTTCTAGATTTCTGGATTTCTAGCTTTCTAGATTTCTAGATTCCTAGATTTCTAGATTTCTAGATTCCTAGATTCCTGGATTTTTAGATTTCTAGATCTCTAGACTTCTAGATTTCTGGCTTCCTAGATTTCTAGTTTTCTAGATTTCTAGATCTCTAGATTTCTAGAGTTCTAGATCTCTAGACTTCTAAGACTTCTAGTTTTTAGATTTCTAGTTTTTAAATCTTGAAACTGGAAGAGCTAGGAGAAAAATTGGCAAGATTTTATACTTTTTAGCTGAAAAGTTCAAGTGATTAGCTCATTGGTTCAATCAAATTTTCCTAGACTTTATCTATAATGAAATATGATTTTTTTTTACGGTTTAACAATTGAAAATTTTTGCTTTTCTATTTCTGTAGAACATTTTATAAATTCTTAAGCGAATTTAAAATTTACCGAATTTTTTTGAATCGAATAAATCACGAAATTCCCACAATGACAATATTTTCTCGACTAACGACGAATTTGTAATCACGTTAACGTTAACGTAAAACCTTTTCTAGAAGTTAAACATCTTCTACAAGCGGTCTCTTTTTAGTTTTGTGCATTTAAAAACGAACACAAATGTGCGGTTTTTAAAAAAAAAAAAAAAAAAATAGAAATTTCTTTAAAGAAAATCTTTATTCTCTCAAAAATGACAAAATTTGAGTGAAAAAAAGGGTAGAAGATCAGAAAAAAGGAAAACAAACACGAAGATTGAATTGCATTGAATCGTTTCGATTGAAAAATCAAGAGACAAGAGGCAGCTAAACTTTTATCTTTTTGCTTCAACTCTTTATCTATATCTATTCTTTAGATCAGAGAAGGGGAAAGATTTTTGTCGAATGAAGGTCCAATTTGTGGAGGAGGGGGGCAAATTTGGTCCAATTTGGTCCAATTTGGCCCCATTTGGTTCCATTTGGTCCAATTTGGTTCCATTTGGTTCCATTTGGTTCCATTTGGTCCCATTTGGTTCCATTTGACCCAATTTGGTTCCATTTGGTCCTATTTGGTTCCATTTGGTCCCATTTGGTCCAATTTGGTTCCATTTGGTCCCATTTGGTCCAATTTGGTCCCATTTGGTCCAATTTAGCCCCATTTGGTTCGATTTGGTCCCATTTGGTCCCATTTGATTCCATTTGGTTCCAATTGGTCCAATTTGGTTCCATTTGGTCCAATTTCGTTCCATTTGGTCCAATTTGGTTCCATTTGGTTCTAATTTGCTTCCAACTGGTCCAATTTGGTTCCATTTGGTCCAATTTGGTCCCCAGAGCGACCCGAACCGGCTTGATCGCTCTCTCTCCCTCCACCTTACCGATTGCAAAAGAGAACACGTATCTATCAAAAAGGTGTGCCAGATGAGAGCGATTACTCGGCCGCACAAAGAACACCTCGCCAGTCATTCACAAATTCTTTGTATCTTTGCTTTGTAGATTCCCCAAAAAAGATATTTTGCTGGAAATTTGTACCCAGAAGCTTTCGCGATCGGGGAATTGATTGGAGACATTCATTTTATTGTGTCTACCAAATGGAAGGGGATTCATTTTATTCTGTCTACGGGGTTTAACTGGGTGAAACATCCAAAAAACATTTGGAAACTATTTTATGCTGCTTTGTGTTCTTTTCCTTTTTTGATCGTTTTTGTCTCTTGATTTTCTCAGGATTGTGCAGTACAACTAAATTCTATTAAAATCCCCGGATAACATCGAAGAGAATCAAAACTTTTAATCATCTAGTGCAATCACAATCATTTAACAACCACAAATATTGAAATAGCTCTTAGGAGACGGAAAAAAAACGAATAAATGATGATGCTGAGGTGATTTTGATCAGATTATGTGAGTGAGAAAGTGGAGAAGAAAAAGAATAAACAATACAATGGGTTTTACAAAGTGAACTTTGTGCTCTTGTAAACATCTTTTTCTAGTGCACTTGATTTCTTATTTTTCTTGGAATAAACGATTTTTTTACATGAGAAAAGGCAGAAATCAATGCAGAAATCATGCTTTTACATGAAAACAAAAATTTATCTAATGAGATCGATTTTCTCATTGAATATATCGTTTTCAAATGATGACGATTTGAATTTGAATTGGAATTTGACTTTGAATTCAATTTCAATCCAATTTGAATTCAATTTCAATCCAATTTGAATCCAGTTTGAATCCAATTTGAATCCAATTTGAATTCAATTCAATTCCAAATCCAAAATTGCTCAATTCTCCACCTTTCCATTGATGGTGAAGCCATTCTGAAGCGAGTTAACGGCTGACGTTTTGTAGACACGAATCGGGGTTTCATCGGAGCCGATTGACTGAAAAGATTTATCTATTTGAAGCTTTTTGAAGCCTTTTTGAACAAATCTGGGATGAGAAATGCCAAAGAATGAGGTTAACTGAGCTTTCCTCGATGCCAATTTTCTACAGGAGCTGTTTCTAAAGAAGCTGTTTCTAAAGGAGCTGTTTCTAAAGAAGCTATTTCTAAAGAAGCTGCGATTAGAGATTTTTGAGAGAGGAGAAATGGGAAAACCTTTAGACATCAAGGCAGAAGATTGGTGTCACTCACTGAGAAATGTTCGAGGTTTCGGATTTCTTTCTTTTAGATCTATGTTTCCTAGACCCTTCATTCAAAGTTGATGACCTAAGAACAACCCGAGAGCTCATCAAATCAACTCTTTGGAGTCTTTGGAGTTTCTAAAGAAGCTGTTTCTGCACGGCACTGTTTCTGGACAGCGCTGTTTCTGCACAGCGCTGTTTCTAAAGAAGCTGTTTCTACACGGCGCTGTTTTGACCATCTCCCACAAATTGGGCCACTACTCTATGAATCCTTGTATAATATTTGGTACTTGTGATCTGACCTTAATTTGAAAAGGATTCAATTTCTTTATGCTTTTATATGATTTTACTATTTAAAATTTAAAGAAAACAGAAAATTCTTTGAAATTTTTAATATTTCAAGCTAAACAGCTTCAATAAGCTAGTTTTGAATGATTTTTGAAATTCTCATGTTTCAAGTTAAAGTTTGATATTAGCTATGGTTTTGATTAATCTCGAATCATGGTTTTTACTAATTTTTATCTGCTTTTTCTTTTTTACAATTATCCAATGTTTTGAGATTTAATTTTAAATGTTTTAACCGAATTTTTGTTTATTATTTCTGTTCATTAATTGCTTTGATTGATTGATCGATTGCTGTAATTGTATAAGCCACTTTTCCTCTTCAATTTTAATGTTCAATGTTTAATTTATTAGTAAACTACGAAAAAACACCTACTACTTTAATTGAAATTGTGCTTTGTGACTTAAATTTTAACTTGTTTTAGAATGAAAAGAATTTCTGGACTTTCTGGGGTGTTAAATGAGTTCCCCTACCTCATCGACATCAAAAGTGAATCCATTTTGATTGCTGTCAGCGACAACGTGATCGAAAATCGGAAAAGCTGGCGAGTTTTTCACTGAAAACGATGAATCAGATTATTTTCAACTTTTAACTCTTTCGTGTTTCAAATTATTCATATCGTATTCTCTCTAATAGTAATGCACCAAGAGCGTCGCCTAAATTCTTCGAAATCTCGAGAACCGCTTATCAGAACCTATCGATGTGGGGTCGGAAAATGTAGCTGACGATGAGATCTAGTGGGGGATTTGAGTGTTGAGCTTCTGCAAAAGCTTGGAAACCGTAAAATAGTCATCAACGGGGAACATCCGGCACTTTGACCCGGACCCGGTTCACTATCCGGACAGGTGAATTAGCAAATACCGTATTTTCTCTAATAGTAGCGAGCGTCGCCTAAATTCCTCGAAATCTCGAGAACCGCTTATCAGAACCTATCGATGTGCGGTCGGAAAATGTAGCTGACGATGAGATCTTGACGATGATTAGAGGCTTGAGCTTCTGCAAAAGCTTGGAAACCGTAAAATAGTGACCAACTCGGCTCGCCGGGGTGCACTACTATTAGAGAAAATACGGTATACAAAATTTAAAATTCGAAATTATCGATTATTTTGTTGGCTTTCGTTTCTTTGACTTTGACGATTTAAAGCTAGCGTTTTGTTATTCTTTATTCTTTATTCTGTTATCCTTTCTTTTACTACCTTAAATCCTGGTAATTTACCTTACACACTTTCAACTCTAACAGTTTTTGTTTTTGTTTTCTCTATCAGTTTTCTCTATCAGTTTCAACTCTATCAGTTTTTGTTCAAAATTTCAAAATTTTCAAACCTGTTATTCCGTAGACCGATCCACTTAGATTCAGATACGAAAAAGTGGATGGAGTTTCTGAAAATTCGAGATTTACTGGGTAATGTTTCAAGTTAAACAGTAGTAAGGCAAGGATTGGGATTTGAATTCCTAGTATTTCTCAGCAAACATTCAATATCGTTAATCTGTCTTCAATTTCTAAAACTGAGACTTTATTTTCAGCTTTTTCCGATTAAATTCTCTTTTTTTTATCGATATCATATTTAATTTGAAACTAGATTCTTAATTGAATCAAATTGATGAATTCTTTCGTTTCCTTCTAATTTGTGTCGTTTTAAATCCGATTTTTTTACACTAATTGCGGCTATTTTTTGGGTAAATCTAATCTAAAACTTGCTAAATAAACAGTACTAAACAGTACTGAACAGACTAGGCAGTACTAAGCAGTACTGAACAGTACTAAGCAGTACTAAGCAGTATTAAACAGTACTAAACAGTATTGAGCAGTACTAAGCAGTACTAAACAGCACTAAACAGTACTAAGCAGTACTAAGCAGTACTGAACAGTACTAAACAGTACTGAACAGACTAAGAAGTACTAAGAAGTACTAAGCAGTACTAAGCAATACTATGCAGTACTGAACAGGCTAAGCACTAGTAAACACTACTTAACACTACTAAACACTTCTAAACGTTTCTAAACACTACTAAGCAGTACTAAACAGTACTAAACACTACTAAACAGTACTAAACAGTACTAAATACCACTAAAAAATAATTTTCAATAAAATCAGCTGACGATTCTGCTTAAAACTTCATTAAGCTCTTTTTCTCTTTAAAAAGGCGTCTAATTTGAAACTAGATCATCAATTGATCAAAAAGGAAAACGATTTTCTGTCTAAATTTCAATTATTTTATAGTTTTTTGTATATTTTTAAAAAAAGAATCAATAGAATTATTTGAATTAGATGAATTAGATGCATTAGATCCATTAGATGCATTAGATCCATTAGATGCATTAGATCCATTAGATGAATAAAATGAACAAACCACTCGAGATGATCATCCCAATCCATGGCTTTTTCTCGTCAATCGCTTCCAAGTAGACCGGTTTCTTGTCGGTTCCGTTTATATACAAAGTGCCTGAGATTTGATTTGGTGAAAGTTTGTTGAAAGTTTGTTGATTTCAGTTGTTAGCCTTTGAAAAAACAAACCGTAAACGAAAATGCCGGTATTTGGAGGGAAAAAGAGTTGAACGCCTGCTTCGATTGAGGCAAATTCGTCCTTTTCAATTGTTAAATTCTCCGTCATTTGGTAGGGACTGTTGTTCAAATGAAATGAATGCTTTTCGAGGGGATCGGCTTGTCTAAAATTGTCTAAAATTGTCTAAAATTGTCTAAAATTGTCTAAAATTGTCTAAAATTGTCTAAAATTGTCTAAAATTGTCTAAAATGTTTAAAACGTTCAAATATGTTCAAAAACTAGCTGAAAAACCAGTCTAAAAACCCGTCTAATAACGGGTTTTTTTAGCTATAACAGGTATAATATAATAACGGGTATAATAGCGGGTATAATAACGAGTTTTTCTAGCTTCTAGCTTCTCGCTTTTCGTCGTTTGTCCCCGTGGCGCAGTCGAGAGCGCGCTTGTCTACTGCTCAAATGATCCGGGTTCGGCCCCCACCTAGTGCCAATCAGTTTTGAATTTCTATATATTGGCCTAGAAAAGCTGAAAAGCTGGAAAACGGTTTTGGCTTTGATTTCTTTGAAACTACTCGAGGCTCTTATATACTCAAGGCTCTCATATACTCAAGGCTCTCATATACTCAAGGCTCTCATATACTCAAGGCTCTCATATACTCATGGCTCTCATATACTCAAGGCTCTCATATGCTCAAGGCTCTCATATGCTCAAGGCTCTCATATGCTCAAGGCTCTCATATGCTCAAGGCTCTCATATACTCATATACTTTGTTTAATGCAGCACAGAGAAAAATGAATTATAGTTAGAAAAATAGAAAAATGCCTGCATTCTTTTCATTTTTCTTAGTCGACTAGTCTTTAACGTAAGCCAATTTATAATTAGCCTATCTTCACATAAATTTCTTCAGAAATCTCTCTAACCTCTTCTTTCGCGTGTTCTTGATCTCTTCAACTTTGATCGGAGCGCTGATGACTCGATGATGTCGATGTCGGTGAATCGGCGAGCATGAGATGTTTCTAAATTGAGGATTATGAATTGAGGGCTCAGGCTCATGCTTAGGCTTAGGCCATGAAATGGTTATGAAACAAAGATTAGGAAATTGACTAATTTATAATTGACTGATACTAATTTATAATATAATTGAGCGAATCTGTAAATTAGCTGCAAACACTCACGCAATCTGAAGAAATCAAGAAATCAAAATCAATCAATTCGCTTCATTTTGAACTCTTTATAGCGCAGTCACAAGGCGGCTGCCAAACGGCTTCTTTGGTCTAGCGGCTAGTGTGCTAGTCTACGAAACTTGTGAGGTTTTATGGGCTTGGGTTTGAGTCCTTCGCTAACCAATTCGTGTTTTTGACGCATTTATGTTTTATGCATAATTTTGCAACCTCTAAAGATGCTAGCATCTTTTTATTAGCTAAATATTGTTATTTGCTCTTACAACTAGCTAGGTCTAGATCCAATTAGCTAATTGATATTGAGCTTTGGTATTCAAATTAGCTAATTATCTAGCTAATTATCTAGCTGATTATCTAGCTGATTATCTAGCTGATTATCTAGCTGATTATCTAGCTAATTATCTAGATAGTTATCTAGCTAATTATCTAGCTGATCATCTAGCTAATTATCTAGCTAATTATCTAGCTGATCATCTAGCTAATTACCTACCGTAAATACTGTAATAGTACCCCACCACCCTCGTACAGTCACGTCGTCGCAAAAGTTTTTTAGTATTTCATTTTTTTCAAAGCGCCCGTACTTTCAAAAAATGCGTCTTTGGTATCAAAAAAATAGCTGAAATTCAGGGCTATTTTTTGATACCTAAGCGCGCATTGTAGCATAAACCAGTGTCGAGAAAAACTCGCTCAAAGCTAGACTACGCAACACTCCCCACCGTCATTATGGGGGTGGGGTACTATTACAGTATTTACGGTAGATAATTATCTAGCAGATTATCTAGATAATTACCTAGATAATTATCTAGCTAATTATCTAGATAATTGTTTAAATAGAATATCAAAAAACTCACTTGAAAGTGCCGGGTGAGCAGGGCTCAACTTGAAGGTCAACAATAGACAGAGGAATTCTTGAAGTGACCGAAAGTTGTTTTGCCTGGATTTGCTCCTGAAAAAGATGATAAAATTATAGTCTAATTTCTATAATCTTTAATTTTCAATTTTTAAACTAATCAATTAAAAACAAACCTTCAAATAAAATCTCTCCTCTTTGTTGTTGTAATGAGCCACTCTCCATTGACCATTTTCACAGTTTGTGTAGAGGAGATCGCTGAAATTTGGGAATTTGTAGCTGATAGAAAATATGATAGAAATATTCAGGCTATTGCATTAAAGCTATTGGCTATTGTATTCTTAAGAACTTTAGTTCTATTGGAACTTTTGTAAACAAACATTTCCTCGGCTCCAGTTAACGGGACGAGACAATGAATGGTGACAGCTCGGATGCAAGTCTGATCGGTGAAAACGACTCGGGTATAATGGCCATAATATGGATCTCCTGAAAGTAGATATCAAGAAAAACTCTACTACTTTCCCTTCTACTTTCCCTTCTACTTTCCCTTCTACTTTCCTTCCTCTTTCCTTCCTCTTTCCTTCCTCTTTCCTTCCTCTTTCCTTCTACTTTCTTAAGCTTTTTTTCGTTAACTTAAGGGCAAGCTTTTTGAAAATATTAGCCTATCCAGAAAGTCTTTTGTTCCTGTTGACCATCGTTTTCTCAGTTTTCTCAATTTTGACAATTTCTCAGCTTAGAGATAAAATATTGACTGTTATTTACCATTTGAAAGCTCTAAATTTTCTCTAAATTCTAATAGAAATCGATTTCTTTTTTATTCCTTCACTCAACAACAACAACAGAAACTTTTGACTCACTTCCGTCAATTTCGATACTCCGATGCCCGGTCTCCACCCGCAAAAATGAAGCGATGGCTTCTGGAATGTTCACGTTAAAACTTTCAAAGGTTTGATTGATTGATTGATTGATTGATTGTTTGATTGATTGATTGATTGTTTGATTGTTTGATTGTTTGATTGATTAATTGATTGTTTAATTGATGTTTGATCTGGTTTCTTTCATCAAATTCGTTTTCAAAACTGCCAAAGATCAATTTCGACAACTCACCGGTGATGAGAAAAGCAAATATTCTAAGAAGCATCTCGTGTCTTCATCCCTGAATGTGTAAATGGTAAAAAAGGCTTTAAAAGACTTCAAAAAAGGTAAAAATGGCCTCAAAAAGCGAACGATTAAGACGTAAAACCGAAATTTTAAATAGAAAATTAATTAAAATATAAATAATTGAGATTTTTGAAAAAAAAGCAAGTTTTAAAAAGCAAGTTTCAATTGAGAGGAAGTAACGAGTAAAAAGTAGAGAACAGTGTTGTGTTAATTCCATTTTTTTATAAACCACTGTGCTTTCGAGAAAATATTGTTGTTGTTGTTTAAAGCGAAATCCTATCCAGGCTATGGTTTTGGATTTAAACTAGAATAGATCGAACAGAAAGGAATCTGAAGGAAGGATATTAGAAGGATATTTCTGTGAATTCCTCATTTCAACTTTGTACAGGATGTCCGGAAAAAAAAGTGGTTATCACAAAATAATGATCATTGACTTTCAAGAGTTATGCTTAGGTTAAGAATTTGAAGTCCTTTTATGGGATTAGATCGTTTATGATAGGATTTCAATGAGGTTTCTTTGTTTCTGATTGATTGCTTGGATTCGTCGAATAAACAAGTATGTAGGGTGTTCAGAACAAAAGCGGTTATCGGTTTGAGTCGGGAAAAATTGTCTCATTGATTTTATAAGGCTCATCATGGTGTTAAAAGTCTAATCGTGATGTCAAAAGACTCATCCTGGTCTTGTCTCAGGTGTCACACAACAAGAAGTAGTTGATTTTTTGATGATTTCGTGAATAGGGGTGATGCATCAGCTGGAGAGCTCAAAATCCACTTATACAAAATCCACTTTTGAATTCCTCTATTTTCCCAAAAATCTTTCTACTTTTTGTTTCTATCTATCTATAGATTTTGTTTTGATATTAGGAACTTGAAAATAAAAATAAGAGATCCTCAAAAAGTCGGTCCTGGGAAAGCAGTAAAAAGAGGGTTTTCTCGTTTAAAAATTAGCCATATTTTCAAGAATTTTGAATCATCCAATCCAACAATGCAAACTGAAATTGTGGCTAGAATTAAAAGAGATTTATGATGAAATAGAGGAATTAAATCTAGAATTAAAAAGATTAAAAGAAAAGAAACAAAACGAAGAAGGATTTGTGATGAAATAGAGGAATTCAAAAGTGTTCCTCTATTTCATCACTTTTGAACTTTATTTGAAACTTAACTTGTCATCGCGATGGCTTCTTTCTACCGTAATCCTTGTCTGTATTTTTACCCAAAAAGATGACGTTCAAAAGTGTGTTTTTTCATGTATAAGTGGATTTTGAGCTCTCCAGTCGATTCATTCAGAAAATCATCAAAAAAATCAACTTCTTCTTGTCGTGTGACACCTGAGACAAGACCAATTCTGTCACCATGCCTTGCAAACTCAACGAGGAAATTGTTGAGCTTTCTAAAACATCCAATCTAACAATGCAATCCAATCCAACAACTGAAATTGTGGCTAGAGAATTAAAATCCACGATGACCACTTTTTTCCGGATAGCCTTTATATTGATGATGGATAGATTGGGGTAAAAATAGAGACAAGATTACGGTAGAAAGGAGCCATCGCGATGACAAGTTCAGTTTTCAAATAAACCCATTTTGCAAAATAGCAACGGTTTTGTGCAGAAATTTTCCCGAAATTCTATAAATTTCAAATTTTCTCTATTGGCTTATAAAAAATGAAAAAAAAATAGAGGAATGGGAGAAGAGAAAGAAAGCTTTGAATTGGGAATGATTCTGGGGAAATAAGGGCAAGGCTGAGAATAGGAAGAGATCACAAAGGGTTCAAAAAGAATAGAAAACTTCTTGCTCCTTCTTCTTCTCCTTCTTCTGCTTCTTCTGCTTCTTATTCTTCTGCTTCTTCTTCTTCTCCTTCCTCTTCTTCTTCTTCTTCTTCTTCTTCTTCTTCCTCTTCTTCTCCTTCTTCTTCTTTTTCCTCTTCTTCCTCTTCTTCCTCTTCTTCCTCTTCTTCTTCTTTCTCTTCTTCCTCTTCTTCCTTCTCTTCTTCTTCTCCTTCTTCTTCTTCTTTCTCTTCTTCTTCTACTTTCTTTTGTTTTTTACCCCAAAAAACCCCATCGAACATTCATGCTACTCTCCTCACTCACTGACACTTACTCGAGTCGTTTTTTTCGTTTTCTTTTTTGAAAAAGGGTGAAAACGGCTTTGCAAGATCATCAAAATAAGGTTTTGTGAAAATTGATAGACTTTACTTACTTATTATTGCGTATTATTGCTGACTTGAAGCCTTTGAATCGATACATTTTGAAACACACTTTTTATAATCGGTGGATCGGTGGATCAATGGATCAATGGATCAATGGACCTTTTCTTTCATGGAAAACACCCTTATTGCTAAAAAAAGCCAAAGAAGCCAAAGAAACCAAAGAAACCAAAGAAGAACCTTTCAAAAGAAGAAGAAAGGTTCTTCTTTCTATGATTTGATTCTATTTTAAACTGAGTAAACTTCACAATTATTTTAAAGCAACAAATCTTCCCAAAAATACTATAAGAGCTTTGTTTTTCTTGGAAAAAAAAATGCTAAAAGACCTAAACTGCTAATGCTAAAAGACCCAAAGAAAACGAGGGTTTTCGGCGCAAAGAGTGACACTTATAGATGACTGGGGAAAAGGGGAAATGGAACACAAGGAAGGGAAGAAGCACTGAACAACGAGCACTAAACGATACGAAAACTTGGGTAAATGCTGAAGTTTGAAAGATGAAACAGAGCGCGTAAAGCAAGTTCTTAAAAACTGTTTTTTGAATGATTTTGAAAAGGAAAACACTTTGTTCGTTTACTTCGTGTTCTTTGACTTCGTGTTCGTTTAATTCGTGTTCGTTTACTTTGTGTTCGTTTAATTCGTGTTCTTTGACTTCGTGTTCTTTGACTTCGTGTTCTTTTACTTCGTGTTCGTTTACTTTGTGTTCGTTTAATTCGTGTTCTTTTACTTCGTGTTCGTTTACTTCGTGTTCGTGAGCGGGATCGATTTAGATTTAGAGAGATAAGCAACCAAATTTAGAGAGATAAGGGACCAAATTTGTAGAGTTAGGAAACCAAGTTTGCTGAGATAAGGAACCAAATTTAGAGAGATCAGGAACCAGGAGTAAAAGCGGGATTGAAGCAATGAGCAAAAAGAGTAGAACACGTTAACCACTAGGCTACGAGGAAGTTATTGAGAGAAAATATCTGGACGTTATCGTTACTCAAGAGAAATCTTTCCTGTTTTTGAGCGGGATCGAAGCAAGGAGCAAAAAGAGTAGAACACGTTAACCACTAGACTACAAGGAGGTTATTGAGAGCAAATATTTGGACATTATCGTTACTCAAAGAGAAATCTTTATTGTTTTCTGTCAAAAGTTGTCAACAGCAAAAGTTATTGAAAAAGAAAGGATATTAAAATAAATAAAAAGTGTTTGGAGAAAAAAGACAAAAGTAGAGACAAGATTACGGTAGAAAGAGTAAAAAAAAGACACATTTTCGACCCATCAAACGATCAAAAATGATCAAAAAAGATCAAAAATAGATTAAAAAACGATCAAAAACGATCAAAAATCATCAAAAATAGATCGAAAATCATCAAAAATGTTTCTTTAAACTGATTTTTCATTTAATCAGCATCTAGAGAATACTAGAGATACATCTAGAGAATAAAAATCATTTTAATTCCGCAAATTAAAGGCAAATGAAAATAAAGGATCCTAAAATTCCATTAGAAAAAGTAAAAAAGCTTTTTAGTAAAAAACTTTTACTAAAAATAGTTCAGACTTTTCAGGGAATATAAGCAAAATTGGAATTGACATGTAAAATCTCTTCGAGAAATGAAATGTTGGGTTTTTCTAGAAGAAATGAGAGATGTAGTTGAGGAAATAGATAAAAAAAGAAAGCGATGGGGACCTCGAGACTAATTGGGATTTCCTTCATCTAGAGAAAAGGGGGGAAATCGCGATGAGAGCTCAGAGATTCTCTTTCAATTGGGAAAACAATTGGGTTTCAAGATTAGAAGAATTTAAGAATGCTTGCACAAGTAAAGATAAGCTTTTAGCCTTAAAATCTAGTTCGCAAGGCTAGTTCTTAAGGCTAGTTCATAAGGCTAGTTCTTAAGGCTAGTTCTTAAGACTAGTTCTTAAGGCTAGTTCTTAAGGCTAGTTCATAAGGCTAGTTCGTAAGGCTAGTTCTTAAGGCTAGTTCTTAAGGCTAGTTCGTAAGGCTAGTTCATAAGGCTAGTTCTTAAGGCTAGTTCTTAAGACTAGTTCTTAAGGCTAGTTCTTAAGGCTAGTTCATAAGGCTAGTTCGTAAGGCTAGTTCGTAAGGCTAGTTCTTAAGGCTAGTTCTTAAGGCTAGTTCTTAAATCTAGATTTTAAATCTTAAAGCTCTTAAATCTAATCTTAAAGTTTAATCTTTTTAAAGACTTTAGACTTTAAACCCTTAAAGTGGTCAAGCGTTCGGAAACAAAAAGTGATTATCGGTTTGAGTCTGGAAACATTTTCCTCGTTGATTTTGTCCTCGAAAAATTTTCCTCGTTGATCTTGCAAGGCATGGTGACAGAATTGCTCTTGTCTCAGGTGTCATACAACATGAAGAAGTTGATTTTTTTGATGATTTTCTGAATGAATCAGTTGGAGAGCTCAAAATCCACTTATACATGAAAAAGCACACTTTTGAACTTCATCTTTTTGGGTAAAAATAGAGACAAGGATTACGGTAGAAAGGAGCCATCGCGATGACAAGTTAAGTTTCAAATAAAGTTCAAAGGTGATGAAATAGAGGAACACTTTTGAATTCCTCTATTTCATCACAAGTCTTTCTTCTTTTTATTTCTATAGAATTGGCTTTGTCTCAGGTGTCACACGACAAGAAGAAGCTGATTTTTTTTTGATGATTTTGTGAATGCATCGGCTGGAGAGCTCAAAATCCACTTATACATGAAAAAACACACTTTTGAATTCCTCTATTTCATCATAAATCCTTCTTCGTTTTGTTTTTTTTCTTCTTTTAAT